CCTTGCTTCCTTGCTTCCTTGCTTCCTTGCTTCCTTGCTTCCTTGCTTTCTTCCTTGCCTGCTTCTTTTTTACCTTATTTGATTCCTTTATTTCCAACATTTTTCTATCTTCTCTCTTCCTTCTTTATTCCTACCCTCCTATCTTCCTTAGTATTTTTTGTGTAAAAATCTCCGTAGTAAAATGTTTTAATTTTTCTTTTCCCCTTGTTTTGTTTTTAATTTTGACGTGAAATCCCGAAAAAATTATTTGGCTTACTCATTGTTTCGTGTTGTTAAAGTGTATATCAAGGGAAAACAATTACATTTTCAAAACCACTTTCAAAATATTATTTCTCGTAATTGATCAAGGAATACAAATTGATTTCTCTTTCTAACGAATATGAAGATATATWTTTTTTACTATTTACTCGTAAATGAATTTTTTTCTGTCTAGATCAATGATTAGTTCACAATTTGAAGTCAATAAGCACCAAGTAGATTGCCAAACACAGAACTGCTCTATAAACAACAATGTTGAATACTAAGAGAGAAAATCGGAAAATATAATATTTTTGTTATAAAAAGAAAACAAAAGATCACGTTCGAGAAAATATCCTTTGGTCAAATGAATAAATAAATAAATAAACATCATAATATTGTTACCGGATACTTCTCCTTTTCCATCTTGTTGAAACAGCACCGGGTCGTAGTATTGCCCTCGTGAACTAACAATAAAAGCTAGAACTAAAAAGACGAAAAAACCCATAGTTTTGAAACGATCATCTCCGATCCATATATATATCTATMTATATATATATAGTAAAATTCTTAGTTTTCAAGGCTTTAGATCTCTTGTTCACATGAATAAAAATCTTCCATCATGAATCAAAAAAATATTCAGTGGTCACCTGCTATGTACCTGTTGTTGGACTGTCACTATTTTTATATTCCTTTCATTTTAGTTTACGCCTTTGTAGGTTTTGAATAGTAGATTTTAAACTCTTTTTCTCAAGCTCCGTTTTATTTTGATATTTTACATCAGCGGACGCACGCGGGTCGTTAATTATTATTTAATAAACGATCAGGAGTGTTTTATCAGGTTTGAAACCACGAGGAGTAGTCGAGTGGTTTCAGAGCCGATAAAAGACGATATGCGAGTCTGCTGAACTGCTTCAAAAACTTAGGTATAATTCGAACCCTAGCTTCAGTTGAATTAGAGTGATCATATATGTCGCGAACATGGACTTTTATACTTTGATAGACGTTTGAACATCAATGTCATGCGCAGTGAGGTTTAACGTCACTGCCATGCTCAGTGAGTCAAATAAAGGCTCCCACAAGTCGAAGACTTGTGAAAACTTGGATTCATCGAGAAAATAAATGTGATAAAAGTCGTCCTCAGTATTCTTTATACGAAGAATAACCATAAGGATGAGACTTAAATAATATAATAATAATAATAATAATAATAATAATAATAATAATATTTATAACGCGCATATTTCATGTGGATATGTTCATATGCGCAGAATTAACTAAGTCATTCAATTAAATAAATTGGATAAAGAGAAATATAAATATAACATAATATAGTATAGTATATAATAATATAAATATATAAAATAAATAAWATATATAGTAAATAGCAATAAAGATGTATAAAATTCTAAGTAAAAGCTAATTTAAAAAGGTATGTCTTAACAAGTGATTTAAATTTCCTGATACACAGTTCATTCCTGATTTCAACAGGAAGAGCGTTCCACAGTTTAGGGGCCGAAGATTGAAAAGCCCTGTCACCTAAAGTTTTTTTACATTTCCACTAGCTGGATTTAGCAGAGTGCCCTTATGATTCCGGAGGTTATACCTAGAAACCTTACTTACTGAAACTAAATCAGACAAATATTGTGGTGCTAGCCCACGTAAACATTTAAATGTTAACAGTAGTATCTTAAAATGAATACGATATCTAATAGGTAACCAGTGTAAATCGAAAAGAACTGGTGTGATGTGGCAAAAACGAGGAAGCCCTACAATAACCCTGGCAACAGAATTTTGCACTCTGATTATTCTCATCATTATTATTATTCTTTATTTGAAGAATACTATTAAAGATGACACTTTATTTAAGAGGATTTTAAAGGTCTTAAGTAGAAATTGAGCTCTCGCTTTCGGCTCTGCATGGAGTTCGCGCTTTGCCAGTTATCATTTCCTTAATTAAACTTTTTTCATGAAAGCATGAAGATAAAATTCTTTAGGTTTTAGTTATTGAAAKAATACTAGTGCTTCAAATTTAGAGCGACGTAAGGGCTCATGGTATTATCGTCATGTCAAGACAAAATTCTAAAAGCTATGCTAGATATTTAATTGAAAAGGCAGTATCCCCATCTTCTATCTCTGTCAAAATTTGTAGTCGTCGAGCACCATATTCTAGTGCTATCGCTTTTCGAACATCGCCAGTTGACGACTCCTTCGTAGACAAATGGAATCACGCAGCAGGAGCCTTCTGGAACGTTCCCTCTCGTTGTCCGTATTTTACAACCTACAAAGAACAAAGTATCTTATACTCATTAATTATTCATAAGGTTATCGACCTTATCAGATTTTGAAACCCCAATAGAATACAGCAACTCGTATTTGAAACATTACTTAAGATCACGTCTCATTCCCTTGAGCATTGTTTCTTTTGTTCTTTTGTTTTGTATAGTTCAGTTTGGGCGTAATGTTATCCTATGCCATACCATGCGTCATTCCCTAGAGTATCATTTTTTTGGTTTAACGGTTGCGCATGAGAACACCCAAAATTATGGAAGYAACTTAAACAAATAATATTATTCTCAAGGGAATGACACGCGGTCTGAAATGACAAAGCTTCAAGCCCAAACTTAATGGGTCTGTTTAATATGATTTGTTGTTTACTTAGAATTTGCTTACTTACTTGCCGGTCTATTCTTGTCGTTACAACATGATGAATGACAGTTTCTTGTACATCTAACTTGACATTCAGCAGGACACAAAACCTCCGATCGTGCTCTGAGATCCTTCGAATTGGAACTATAAAGTTCTG